TCAGTTAACTTAAAGCAAGATCAGTTTAATGGGCTCACCATGCTAACTAATGGCTGAAATCAAATAACTAAAAAAGATCTCTGGTTAGTAGATAACTAATATCTGGAGAAGATCAGTAAAACATCGAGGGGATTCTCAGATCTGGAGGAAACTGAAACTGCAGCGTGTCTTTATCCTGCTTATATTGGCACTTACTGAGTTATTGTAGAGACCTTAAGAGGAATGTGAAGCAGGATGCTGGAGAATGTAAGCTTGAAGCATTTTTTGTTAGATGACTTGACTCTGTTAGTTCATTTTAGTTCAGGATATCTCAAATTGTGATGTTATTACCGAAGTTTAAATTTCCTTTCAATTCCTCAGCTGTTTATTTTAGCTCCAGTCTAAGTAGCATTCTAGCAGATTTCATTTGTTTTGTTGTTAGCTTTTAAAGCTTTGTGAATATATTTTTGTATCTGTTTTGAAAGTGATGTGGAAATTACTGTATGCTCTTTCACATTCATTTTGAAAACATTTCTGCTTAAGTTTATTAGTGTAGTAACAAAAACACTTTAGCATTTTATTTTAGATTCTTATGCTGCTAAAACGCATGAGCAGACTGCTGTCAAAATTGCTAAACAAAAATTTCCATTTAGACAAAGACCTTGCTTGGAGCACAGGTTTCACAGTGTGTGGGAGGTTTCATTCAGATATTGCAGCTAAGCTCCAGAAAATGGGGTCTTATGAAAATTGACAGCTTCCCTCTAAAAGTCTCTTAGATGGTTGTCTCGTGTAACTCATTCTGTTTCTATCACTGTTCCATACTTCTGTTTAGATGGATGGTTTGAAATTGTAATTAGCTCTTTTCATTAACTGTGGTACAAGTTCTTCTGGACTGTTCTCTTGAAAGTACTTCCCATAGCACTTTGCTTCAGAATATTGTACTGCTATGGATTTCTTTGCCTACTGAATGGTTTTCATATTCGTGTGTAGCTTAGAAATTCTGTAATCAGTTTGTCATTCCCTCTGCATGATTTAGACCCCAAACCCACTGGTTTCCTCCGTGGGATCCATCTGGTAAACAAAAAATGCTATATAAGAGAGGTTTAGGTCATTTATCCATTTTTCATTTTTACCATGCTGGGCAATTTGTTTAGACATCATCTAGGGCTGAATTTGTTATTAGTCAGAACTGTAGAAAACCCTGCAATAAATGTCTGAATAAGTCTTACTCCTAGTATGTGGCCATTCCTTCCCTTCTGCTGTTCTCTTCAGAGCTTAGACGTCACTCTTCCAAGAAAGTGTGTTGGATTGCCTTACCTGCTTCCTTTCCTGCTTTTTTGGTACTGTCCCTACTCTGAGCTACACCACAATAATCTTTGCTTTTCATATTCCTCAACAAAATACGCTTTTGTTCTGCTAAACATAGCTAAACACGTGATCCTTTCGTATGCCACTTAGTTCAGAGGGACTAGCATAAATCTTAGAGCATCCACTTGTCTATTTCATGTTTCAACTTTTGAACAAACTTAGGAAATAATGGACTCATGACAGGAGAGAAAGACTTGAGTCTTTCAGAACTGAATGTGGAACTGGTGCTGGAAAGTAATGTAGAGACTGAACTACAGAGAAATTGTGTTCCTCTTAAAACAGGGCAATTCTCTAATATTAAAGAAAAGACAGTGGGTAACAGAGAAGACGTTCCCAAGTGAATGTTTTTAACACTGAAAGAGTGGTGTCAAGTGGAACAGTTACGGTGTCAAGGGATGAGAAGACGGTGGTTCAAACAGTCTAAAAATGAGGATGCTCATTTAGTTTTTGTGGTGGCTGGATACAGATCCTTGAATCAAAAAGAGTTTTGTTCTTTCTTTTCTACTGGAGCAACTGCAGTGGGGTGATTGGAGTATTTCTCATATGAGGAGATGCTGAGAGAGCTGGGACTGTTCATCCTGGAGAAGAGGATATTCAGAGGGGATCTTATCCATGTACCTCATCCACCTGAAGGGAGGGTGCGAAGAGTGTGGAGCCAGGCTCTTCTCAATGGTGCCTGTTTCCAGGACAAGAGGCAAAAGGCACAAACCAGAACACCTGAAACTACATCCATCTGAACAGAGGAAAACACTTTTCTGCTGAGAGAGGGTGGCTGAACACTGGTGCAGGTTTCCAGAGAAACTGTGTAGTCTCAGTCCTTGGAGATGCTCAAACACTGACTCAGTATGGTTGTGGGCAGCCTGCTGTAACTGACCCTGCTTGAGCAGGGAGGTGGGATGGATGGTTTGGAGAGGTTCCTTCCAATATCAGCTAATCTGTTTTTTTTGTTTGTTTGTTTGTTTTCTGTAACCTGGAATAAGTTTAACTTTAGGCATGGTTTCATACTTCTTTATGTGGAATAAAGAATTAGGATGTGGGAGATCCACTTTCAGCTGAGGGCTCACAGTATTTGTGATATGGCAGTCTTTATTAATAAAGTAATTTTAAATAATTTGGAAACCATTTGGAACACACTACTTGAACCCATTAATGTATTTGGGATGACAAAAAGTGCAGTATTGCTGGAGGGTGGGGTAGGGTGTTGACACTATATACAACTAAGGAAAAATTTTTGCCCAGTACTTTTTTCAATAGCCTGTTTTGAGGAAATTTAGGTAGATGATTCATATGCAGTATATAGTCAATTAGGATCAGTCATATTTAGTTCTGGTTTATACAAAAAAATATTTAATCAGATGCTTAGAGCTATTTATATTACAGTACTTATGTCTAAGGGCCATTTATGTTAATACAGCATTTCTCATTAATGGAGACTTATGGGGGGGAAGTGCTCTGTGTGTCTTACAAGTGTCCGGTGTGCTCCCCAGATCTTAGAGAAATTTAACATTTTTTTTTCTCTGACAGGCTAAAGGACTATTTTTTAAGATCTGACTTTTCTCTTTAATTTTACCACCACCGAAGAAGCTCTACTAAGTATGTCTTTCATTAACTTTTTTTTTTTTTACTTATATACCCAAGATACAAGATTCTGCTAAGATAGCATTTTCAAAATTCTGAGGAGTAAGATCACTTATGAAGAATAACATCTGTGCTAAGGAATACAGCAGTAATATTTTAATTTTTTCTTTCCTTAGCGTACAATTCTGAATTCCAGTTCGAAATAATTTTGTAAGAATAGCTTAAAAAAAATGTTTCTATGCTGACTGCATATGTTACTACACACTCTCAAGAGTATCTGAAAATATGCAGGTTTCCCCATGTGTGTTTCATGCCCAAGCTGGTCCATGCGCTTCATGAGTGGTCTGGGAGTGGCTGTGCAGATGTGCAGCAGGGCATGCCTTCGCTCCTGGGGAGCAGCGAGATGGCAGGCATAAGAGACCATTGTACCCCTCATCACCCAGGGTGAGGTACCAGGGATACTAGATACTTGCACAGTTTGAAAGCTGACCAAAGGTGAAGGCTCTTTCCCCAGGATCTGTTGCCTTCTGCAGCGTTCTGGTTGGAAGCTAAGTGCTGCCATGGAAATGCTGGAGTTGAAGGATGTGAGTGGGCTCTGGTCTGTTAGGGCTGGTCTTCAGTCATGCAAGTTGTCTGTAAACATATCTGTGCATGCTTGGGAAAGCTAACGTGTAATAGTGTGTCCTGCTGTATTGTCTTCATGTTTTTCATTTGGATCCTCGCCTCTGTGACAGGCGGTTCCAGGGAAGCGAGAGGCAGGTGGGCTCTTCCAAACTGAACAGCTCAGTGTCTGCCACCAGGCTGCAAGGACATCACCCCCAGAATTTTATGCCCACAACACATGCTACCAACTAGGTGATGACAACCGTGCAAATGAGGTTTGACTTTTTAGAGAATGCCAAGTTCTGGACACAAAGGATTTTGAGACAGATGCTTGGATATACCAGAACAGAGTTGCAATCTAGGGGTAGACTTTCTAGTCAGACATTAAGACCACTCATAAGCATACAGAGCAAAGTGTAAAAAGGAAACAGTGATCAGCAAGAGACAGCTCTGTGAACTCTTCCTATTGTGCTGGCTAGAGAAAGCGAGCTTTATTTGCTCCTAACAGTGATGGTCACATGGAGCAACCTTTCCAAGGGGTCTTTCAGCATGTAGCTATTCAACTGAGCAAATGGATGGAAAAGTTGCGGGGCTGGAGATGGAAATGTCGGGTAGTCTTTGTGCAGTTTGCTCTTTTTTAGTCCTGAAGCTGATTTGTTAGCTTGCTCCTCAGTTCTCTTCCTCTCAAACAGCTACTTTACACCCACAGTGTTAATACTTGTACGGAATCCACATTTCCATCCTTTTTTTCTGTTTTTTTGTTTTTATGATTGATTTCACTTTTCCCTGTTTGATGCATGATAAAGTACCTGTACTGCAGTGAGCAAGTAACGCACTTACTGTAGCCACCCCAACTCCAAGGATAATTACAGAGGCTCAGGTGATAATTTGTCAGTTCTCAAACTGCAGCAGCTTAATCATGATTGCGTGTCCGTAATTTAAGTTAGAGATTGGCAATGACCTGATTAGCTGCATTTTGCTTTGAAAAATAGTAACTGTGTTCCCATTCAGTGTGTACTGGCAGTACCTGTCAGTAGAAGATAGTGACATCTACATTGGGAAACAGAAATACAGGATACCATACCACCCTTAGTGGCCATAGTGGAATAGATTCTAGATCTCTTCTTTTAAAGAAAATGACAGGTTCATCAAGAAATTAACATATTATTGAAAGTCCAAGTGCTAAAAGGGAATTTAAGATCTGATCTTACCGAGATTCTTTTAGCAATTTTACTTAATCTCTTTGTATGTGGCTTTATTGCATAATACACCAGTCAACTGTGAATTATATATTAATATATGGAAAGATAGTGCTAACTAAATGGTTCTGTATTGCTCATAAAATTGCAAATTTTGGTTTAGAAATTGATCACATGGGTTTCCGTAGCAGTCTCAGTTTTGCAGGATCACAATATTGCACAAATTCTACTGCACAACTGTCTAAACGTAGTCTCATCAACCTTTTCTTTCAGGTTCTACAATGGAGAGCGCAACAGGAGGAGGCAGCTAAACTAGAAGCTGCTATAGCTGCTAGAAGAAAAGAAAAGGAAGATGAGAAAGAAAGGCTACGGAAAGAACAGGAAATGATCCACAGAGCTCAGGAGAAAGAAAAAGTAGGATAAACTTTAAAGCATTTTTGCATTTGCTGATACGTACAACTGCCTTTAAAATCTTTGCCTGATCTAACTACTGTGTGTTCTTGTAATGTATTTAGTATTAGCGTAGAGATTAGCAAATGGTTTGAGGAGTCTTGCTTCTGTCCATTTCAGCTTAAAGCTTGCCTGTACTTGCACATCTGTAACTTTATGTTCCTAAAAAAAAAAAAAAGCACACACAGGGACAGTGTTTGTGACTATCTCGATGTTGCAAAAAACGAAGCGCAGAGGCTAACTCTGACAGATCTGTGCTTTTTAGTAGTGTGGCAAGGACTATGAAAGCTTCCAATGCTGCAGTTAAGTATGCTGCAATGCAGCAAATGAGCCTTACAGTATGTTGTCTGCAAGATACCGCACTGCACTTTGCAGCACAAGGACCTTAAAAGTGAGCCTGAAGTACAATGATAGTATTAACCACTTCACGGTACCAGACGTCTATATAACGTTATTCTAAGTACTTACATGGTGACTGCTTGGGAAACGACATTGATGCAAAAGTCTAATCTTTGTCTTAGCAGAAAATCAAAAATCCACTATAGTGAATATAAGGCTTTAAGAAAGTCAGATTGTCACTTACATATCTCTGTTGACCTTTTTATTTTAAGTATATGGCACAAATTCAGGAGTTTTTAGTACTAAAATTGTACCCCTTTTTCGTATTATTTTTACACTTAAATCTGGCTTGCTTAGAATTCACCTATGGAATGGCTAAGACTGCAAAATTATTTCTGGAAAAAAATAAGTAGGAGAATATTATGGATTATTTTTTTTTTTAATGCTGATGAGTGAGTAGTGTAATGGGACTACTCAGTGCTGGCATGGTTGCAAGAAGAGAAGAGTTGCTAAAAATTGTGTCCTCATAATATGCCAGTTAAAAGCAGAGTCAAGAAAAGGCTAAACTGTTCCAAGTAGGGTAGTTTCATGATGCATGTTTAAGGCTTTAGTGACGTTAGTTTATGTCACACTGCAGAAAGCCTGGGCAAAGAGAGAGGAAAATGAAAGCTTCATTTATATTACCATGTTTTCTCTTTAGACTGCCTTCTCGTCTTTATTTACTTGCCATGTTTCTGTGTAACATGTCTTAATATGAGCAAATGTTTACTGATGGGACTAAAACATGGGCAATTAGACTCCCTAGAAACTGATGGATTCTCATTTCAGTAGATTTATCTATTGCTGTGATAGGTTTTGTTGTTGTTGCTTGTCTTTCCTGCAAGGACTATCTATTTTTACAGCAATTTGCTTGAGTTGTTACTAAAACAATTTACTTTACAATGCTTACTAAAAGCAGAAAAGAAATTATAGCAGACCAAAATAAATGACTTGCAGGCGGCTGAAAATGACTACCTTAGCAGGAAAAAAAAAAAAAAATCTACACTTCTAGGCATTTCCCTATCTATTTTTATAGCACTTGAATATCTTTCCCATGCTTTGTGCAAATAAGCATGTCTTCATGCCCTGTCAAACAGGTCAAGAGCAGAAGCTCATGTTGCTTATTGCTTTCCTGATAGTAGTTTTGTATAACCATTGAATTTGGTTGTATCAACAGTTCTGCAAAAGAAACACCTGAATTAAAGTGATACTTGGAGAAAATAATCTGAAGCTGCTGAAGCTTTCTTGTCTCCAGGTAGACTCATTAATTCTCATTGTTGCAAGTCTCCAGGGCTGAAATTTGAAAAGATGCTTAACTTGTAATCGATTTTATTTGATTTGTAAGTCCATTGTTCTTGGTCATCACTACATTCCCATTTTATGTTTATCCAGTTTCTCTTCTAACTGAAGGAGTTTTTGCTTATGTTGGTTACCTGATCTTACTCCTTTTCCACAATTCATCTTAAAGACTAAATATACACAAATTACAACTAATTGCCCACAAGTTGGTTTGAAAGGATGATTCTCTTTTCCTTCAAAATACACAGAATGCTGACTTTTCGTAGGAATAAAATATTAAGATTAGAAGGGACCTCAAGAGGTCTCTAGTCCAACCTCCTGCACAAAGCAGGGTTAGCTGTGAGTTCTGACCAAGTAACTCATGTCTTTATCCTTATTTTAATTTGGTTTATTTATCCCTAAGCTTATTCTATTTTTCCTTATTATTTAAGCATGTGTGTTGTATTACAAAATTGTATTGCATATATGACCTTTTCACATTGACATATGTTTCCTTGTAATTGTTCTTGATTAAGATGTTGTCACTGTTCTTAGATTCTGGATTTAAAGTAATAAGATAAGCAAAAACCAGAAGTTACGAGAACTTCCACATTTTTTGTCTGCATTCATGTTCCATGTAAGAGTTTTTAGGGTGAGATGTCTTTGACATCTCAAATACCATATTTTGACTGGTATTTGATGGATAATGTGGAAGTTGTCTCAGTTGGAGGGTATGATTGCGAGCTTTTGTGGTTTCACCACCAGCACTTGGACATGAAGTTACAGAGAGAGAGGCAGCCCATATTTGATGACAGCTTTCTTCTTAGGTTGTGAGAAACTTTGCTGCTACTTTTTGTTGCAGCTTGTTCTGTTTATTTGTCTTTACTCGGGCAATGTTTCTGGTGGAAGGTAGCTCTAAAACAAGGCAGGGAAAAGGATTTGTGAGGCTGTGTTGACCTGACCACCAGCAATGTTAATTTTATGTGTAAATATTTTAGTTGTGCAAATTTTCCAATTTTCTCTTGCCTGTGTACAACGTCTATATGGAAAAGTCCTTTGCCTATGCACAGATGGAACAGCAGCTGTTTGAGGTCAGTAGTCATATGTTTCATTTGAGTGTATTACATCTTAGATCCTTAAAAAGGGCTGCTAACATAATACTGTGGCTGCTTCTCTAATGAGTGTTCAGTGACAGCAAAAGGAATATGTAAAATATCCACGATCAGTGTAAAACGTGCTCACACTCTGCCTACTTCATAACGTAGATAGGGTATGTTGGTGTGTCAAATACTTCCAAACCTGAGAACGAGTAAAATGGCAATAAATCGTAAATACAAATGCTATCTTTGCCCTATTAGATTGCGGATCAGATTTTTTTTTCTATGTATTTAAGTCCTGAATGCAGAAATATCTGTTGGTCTCTATTTAGAGATTATGAGAAATCCTTCAGACAATGTGGAATACAAAACAGTAACAATTGCAAAAGAGAATGTTTTATTTAATAAATATAAGTATTCCAAATAGTATTTAATAGCCATGTTCCAACTTCCAACTGAAATCTCCAGGAGAGGTTTAAATTCAGTATAGTTCAGTAGATGATACATAAGTTACTTTTATTGCCATTTTATGCAATTCTTTTCCTATGTGAGATGATCCCTGGAGGAAATTTCATTTTAAGTAGATATCTGTATGCAGAGGATATGGAGGTGAGATAAGGTCTCAGGCCTTTGCAGCCTTTCTAAAGGAATTTTATGTATCTAATTTTAAAATCAACAGATTATTAAGGTATAATTTTAATTAAGCCTATAATTAACATTTTCTTAGTTTATTAAAATTTCTGATTTTCTTAAATATTTGCATGCTTTACAAAATTTCTATTCTCTATCTTTCCAGCTACACTTCAAATTTTAGAAACACGATGCTGTTTTTGTCAGTGAATTATATATGATATTTTGAAACAATTCCAGTTTTCTTACTAAAATCATACTTCTTCCATCATAAAAAATTCTTTCCAAAAATGGTCTTAATTGTGAATTATTATTTTTTTCCCCTCTGGAAGCAATTTTTTTTTTTTTTTTTGTAAATTTTGTAGTTTTTCTTTCTTCTATTTGTTGTAGCACATGCCAAGAAGCCTGCTTGGTCAAGGAGCCAAGGGGTTCCTCAGTCAGCACAGAGGTGGTATGACGCACCATGCCATTTGCACCAAGCTGTGATGCGAGCTTTGCAGTAAGCAGCTGAGGTCTCACGCTGGTGCCTGCAGCCTGTTCTGCGTGCTGAGAAGTGGAGAGGGGGGCGGCACGGGCACCAGCCTCAAGCCCACCCAATCCCTCTGTTCTGTCTCCAGCAGTGCACATAATAATAGAGGAAATGTGATAATTTCCCTCCTGCCCAGTTATTTGCCCTGTCTGTGGCTATGCCACCTGATGGTGATGTGCTTTGTCAATTTAGGAGTCCTCCTGCAGGGGCTCGCTTTCCAGGTGTTTGCCGGGTCTCTCCTGAAACACCTGTGAGCTTTCTGCGTCCATCAGCAAGGAGCTCCACCAGTCCTCCACGCACTGCCTTTTTTTTTTATTTTTATTTATTTTTTATTTAATTTTTTTATTTTTATTTATTTTATTTATTTTTATTTTTCTTTTATTTGCTCTGTGTCTGGCTCTTGCTCGTTTCATCTGAAGCCTCTGACTTGTCATGCTGGAAGAGACAGAGTTGATCCCCATCCAGCGTCTTCATCATACTTGTGAATTTGTAGGCTTCTTTGCATATTCCCTGTAAGCTGTCTCTTTTCCATCTGAAAAGCCACATCCCATTCCACCAGTGCCTGTATGAAAATAACTACAAGCACGATGAACCTCTGATCGTTACTGTTTCTCTTCTCTGTCCATATGAAAATGTTCCTTTCTGAGACGATGGAGTCAGAACAACACAGTTATATATATTTTTCTGCTCCTTTTTGAAATATTTCTGGGCAGTACCCAGGCCTGGTTTGCTTTGCAGTGGCTGCTGATGTGTGACAGGAGGGGGTGGAGGTCCCCCCGCAGGGCAGCCAGGGCTCTTTGTGCTCTCCCCCATGCAGGGGCCTCGCATGGCCCTCGCAGAGGTCGCTAAGTGCAGTCACCAGCTTTGGTAACTGCAACGACTTGTAACTGAGAGCGTTGCTTGATATCAGCCACGGGCACTCATCTGCATGTAGCATGCTCAGGACCTGTTGCTGTGCTTTGGCTCGGTGAGCAGCACAGAAGTATTCTCTTAGAGCAGGGGAATTTGGAGGTCTGTGCTTCTGCCAGGGTCTGAGGTGAGAGAGGCTCACCTCTGTGACAGGGACAGACAGCCTCTTCTAGTAAATGTAGCTGAAAAATGAAGGGGATAGAGTATGGCTTTACTACAGCCGCTGCTGATGTTGTATCATGTTACAGATACTGTGCTTCACCTCTAACTTAATGCTTACTTTGAGCAGGATCCTGCTAGCAGTGCAGCTATGGCAGTTGAGAGACTCGGTGAAGATTAATAGTAATAATTACAGTAGAAGCGAAGTAAGTACACTTGTATTCAGGGATGTTACCCAGAGAGGAGTGGTGTGCTCAGTGCCGAGCATGCTGTCAGGGTTAGATGACCTCCCGAGATCCCTACAAACCCTGAGTTGCACAGCTCCAGCGTTGTTGCCAGTACCTGAGCAGGTTCATCTAACACTAGCTTAGGAACACAGCGTTGCAGTCATGCTACTGAATTCCAGCAGAATTCAAATGTTGTTGAAAATTGTACAAAAAACCCTCTGAAGCCAGCACTTCAAAGATGAGAAGGTGATTCTTGTTCCTGTGCCTAAAAACTGTTCTAGCAGCTTTCCAAGCTGGTCAGTGGCTCGTGATGGTAGCTCAAGTCATCATTCAGAACTCTGGGCAGTGTGCTACTGCAGCCGTGTTTTTAAGGTAGCATTTGTAACATACGTCACAGCGAGTCGGTAATCGTAAGTTTGCTGCAAATTCCACCAGCTGTCTTTGAAGACTGCACTGGTTTTAGGAATCCTGTGGAATTTATTCAAGAGAAGAATTCATAGTTTCACTTGAGTGACACTTACTTCAAATCTTGATTCCTCTTTTTACATCCAAAACCCCTTCTCTTTACAGATAAGCTTCCCTACTCTGATTTTTATTTTATTTCATTTTCCTCTTGCTGAGGCCTTTCCTCCTCACCCAGCTTTGGAAGAGCTGCATGCTTACATTCATAGGCTTCCTTCTGTTCCTCAGGAAGCTCTCCACCTCAGCCAAAACGAACGGGACTAGCACGGGTACAGCTGTTTGAGCTAACCTGGGGCATTTTATTTTAACTCAGGCAACATTCACTTCTTCAAGCAATGTAGTTAAAGGTTTTGATGCCATAGTAGGAGGGAAAGGAACAAATGAAAGTGGTAGCCCCTTCAGTTTGCAGAACTGAAAGCAGTGGTCAAACAAAAGTATCCATGGCCCAATTTTACTGTATTTGTTGTGGGGAATCCATACTCTCTTTTTATTCTATCTTTTGTTAGCACAGCCTATTCTGAAGTACAAATTTCATTCAAAAAAAAATCATATTGGGTTTCCTTTAACTTAGTACTTTTCTAACTTTATTTGATATCACTACCTTGGCTTAGGAATGATTCTTATTTTGTTTACTGTATTTGTTCAATCTCCAGGTCAAAAAGTACTGGGCTGAGAAACAGCTCAAGTGGCAAGAACAGGAAGAGAAAGATCTACAACGTATGAAGGGATTAAGAAAATTAATGGCTAAACAAGCAATTAAAGACAGAGAACGGTAAAAGAAATTAAATATGAATATAGTATCAATAGGAGCTTCTTAACATATAATTTGTCTTAATCTCCTAACCTTCTAAATTAAAACACATTGAAAGAAGTGATTTTTTTCTTCCTGTTTGGCAGTTACCCCAGTCTACATGCAGGGATTGTATCATGGTTCTATCCTGGAAGCAATTTATTTGTTAGTTTGAATTAATTCAAATAGCCTCAAATATAAATTTTATTCTTTTAGAGGGTCTTAAACTATGCCCTCAAATTTTGAGACAATCAAATTATTACTCTCTTTTGAGTGTTTAGACCCTAGACTTAGTAAATGTTACTGCCTCTTACTCACATTAGCACTCCTCAGTTATTGATGTGGTATTTAATACTGTACTGGAAAAAGTATTTCCATAGAACTGTTTGGTTTCTTCCTCTCAAACAACCTTCATTTAGGATTTTAATGAATGCCAATGAGAAAATTTTCATGATGGCTTCTGCACACTTCAGAACCAGTATGTTTCAAAGGGTGAAATTAAAATGCAGACGTGCATTAGTTGTAGCTACTGTTCACTCATTTGGTGAACAGGCTGAACCTGTTCACGTTTGAATCCTTGCCAAGCAGTCTGCAGAATATGGCCTTTAATGACCTGCAGAGGAAGTACCATAAAAAGACCTTTGTACGTAGTCTGATTATAAGTGCTCTCAAATCGTAACTTTGTCTGTTTTACAGAAAGAGCCCCACCAGACTGCATGGAGAAATGTAATTAAAATAGGGATAAAGTTCCATTGGTATTAGAAGACTAAACTTGGCCTTAATTATTTGTTGGGAAACACTACTTTGATCTTTTGTTGTGATGTCTTGCTGACAGCTGAGGTTAAATATACATGTCCTTATGCTACAAGTATACATGTACCTATACCTTTCCTTAAACATACCTGCATGATCATAGCTGGTAGCAAAGGAAACACACATACTTGAATTACTGATTTTTCAGCAGAACTGATTAGGAGAAAATGACCTTTTTTTAAACTTGTGTACTGTACTATGTTATACAGTTGAGGAATATTATTTTCTTACTCTAATAAACGCATCAGAATAAAATATAAGGAATTGGCATAGTTCATTGAGGAGAGCAGGAAGGAAATAATCATATCTTCAGGCTATTAAAAATCAAAAATCAGTAAGTGCTTAGCATTATGTTTCCATAAATTGGCATACCGTACAAAATAAAACAGTTAAAGAAAAATGCTCTCTTTTAATAATTTAGTGCTTTTCATCTTCAAAGCCTTCACAAACATTAATCAAAGAAGAACAGAGATGTTTCTGTTACTAGGTACTGTACAGCCACTAGTATGGTATAAGGCGTGTATTGTACAGAACGAAGGTATACACGATGGCATGATGATTTCACAGTGCAGAATTGCAGTTCTGTAGAAACTAATTGTAATTTTTACATGTTTAACCTGTTCCAGACCACAAATTATTTTCAGATCTTTGCAGAGCTGATTGTAAAAGATGGGACAGGCTAATACAGCAATTCTTATCTGATACATTTTGTGGCTTTTCAGGGAAAGGAAAAGGTTTTTAGATGCATGAGCTAACCAACTATTCCAAGTACAAGATGTAGCCTGGATAATCATGTAGAATTTCTAATATGTGCAATCAGATATTAAAAAAAGTTCAGCCCTCATCCTGACTTGCTTCTACATTTAATTTTAAATTAAGTAATCAGGTTTATAAAATTAAAGAAACAAACAAAAAAAAACAGTCACTGTGCTGAGTCCTAGTCCTGAATTCATGGAGCAGAGCTGAGAGAGTCAGGAGGAAGAGATTGCTATTTGTAGGAATTTTCTTACTAGCCATGAGAAATGGAGCACCGGCAGCTGTTTGCTGTGCTGCTCTGTTAGTCACACGCAGGGGGTGAAGGTGCTCAACTTTTATTGCATCTCTCCTTTACTTTGTGCTGTTTGCTGCGGTTCCCTCCGGAGAATGCTGGCAGACAGACAGCCTTTCTTCTATTGCCTCTTGGGGTTTTCCCATTTCAGAAGCATGGATCTCAGGAAACCCCCGATGTCCTCCCTCTCTCTCTGTTCAGTGCTCCATGTTGAAGGGCCATGGAACCTAAAGAATCCAGAAAATCCTTGGAGAACTGGATGTTTAAGACCATTCAGAAGATCAGGCAAATTAGATGCTGTTTGTGGAGCCGGTGCTTACAGCAGCTTTGCCACAAGCTTTCCTTACATTTAAGAATTTCTTTAGAGCTCAGATCTGAGTTAGGCCGTGTACCTTGACACAACCACAGCTCTCTGACTTGGGTTGCAGCATAAATTAGCAAAGGAACTATCCCATCAGTTTTTGTCATGGGAACTTGAGGCTACTTCTGAAAACTTCACGTGGGTATGTAAAGCACTGCACATCCCAGATGCTGGGAGCCTTGGCAGCATCGTGCATCAGTCCAGCCTCCTGCAGGTAGAAACACGAACAAATAGATCTTCCTAGCCTTAGTGCTGTAACCTAACCACTGGATAATGCTTTCTGCTTGTTATCAGGTATTTATTCAATCGACAACAGGGAACAGGGTAAGTTGTGATACAGACCAAAAATGCTATCTGTATTATGACCCATTTTTAAAGTTCCAGCTAAAGCTTTCATAATAAAAACATTTCATATTGAATATTTTTCCTATTGAATATTTATGAGACAGTGTCTTACAGCATAATTTTAATGAAATTGTGCTTATCAAAAATTACATAAGCGTATGCCCACAATACTTCAAAAGGTAGTTTTACCAAACCTAATCAGCTAAGCCCATTTTTCAGCCGATGATTTATTAAAATTGTTACTTACAGTGCTACTTAAAGTCAAAATTGTGTATTAATTTTTTTAAGCTTTTCTATAAAATTAGTTGTACTTAATTTTACAGAGCAACAAGATGGTAGGTCCTTTCTCTGCCTTCGTCGGCCTGTTATTTAATTTGTTAATCATTTGCTATCGCTTATACATATTTATACTGGGTATGGAAACACTATAAATTATTTCCATTTGGTTTTAGTGAAGTTTTATGCTCCTGCATGTATGAAAACTCATACAGAAGAGATGCAGTATTTGAAATTAGACCTCAGTGAGACCCCTTCAGTTTTCTTTCTTGGTAATTTATAGAAGTTCTCAAGTTGTTGAATTTCATATTTGATAATCCTGGAGTATTTTAAAACTCATATAGTAGTCAGCTCAAGAACAGCGAAAGATTTTCAATATAATACAATTTTATTTTTTTTGGGTGGGGGGAAGTATTTCTGCTTTTTATTAAATTTTCTTTGTATGAAAACCAGCTTAAGCCTTCTCCCTGGAATGAAATTACCGGTGAAGATTACTGTTGTAAACGTTCATCTGACTAAACTACAATGGCTACACTGATAAACAGAAAGCCTCTCTTGGCCGTTGTCAGGCAGCTTTTTTCCATTCTCTTAGGACAAACTTGTTCATAGCAAAAATTGCGTACTCCTTTGAACTCCTGAAAAGTTTGAGAATTATAAAAATACACTAGTTTTACTGTAGTTGAAGCAGCTTTTCTTCTCCAGTTCTCTAAAGGCAAATTATAATTTGAAGGGGGAAGGAAGGATAACTCTGTATGCAGAGTGTGGCAGTGGCAATTCCTGCGAAAGGACTAACAGTGATATGGCAAAGTGATATGGCAAAGAATATCTTTACAGCTTCATAAGAAACAGAGTTTGGCAGTGGGCTGAGAACTAATAGGAAGTATGGTCACAGCAGTATTATCAAGGCAATAAAAATCTATTGCAAAACGTTGATCATCAAAAATAATGTAATAGGTAAAGTTTCAAATTTATTTATGCTAACCTCCATTTTTTTCTTTCTAAGGAAGTTTCTAATTCTTAAGTTTTCTTCCTTCTTCCAGTAACAAGATTGGGAGCAATTTGTTTCTTTTAATGGAAAGGGTTATAGGAAAGAGTTGTGCTGCCATACACAGATGTCAGAACATTTCTTCTTGGCAAAGAAGATGGAAAAAAATGAGTAATAGTGCTATAAGCTTGCTAGAGAAAAGCTAGGCTTCAGAAATGAAGTCTGAAAGGTTAGCCAACTTTTAAAATAAATAAATAAAATTGTATCTCTCTATATATAAATGAAAAAGCATTATTTGCATTTTTTGCATTGTGTTTTTGATGAACCATCTTATTTTTTAAGTGGACATAAAGAACATCAGGATAGTTTTCAAATTGAAAGTAACAATTTTGAAATGAAAATTGACCAAGTGTTTTTCCATTTGTATACATGCTGTTTTACAGGGTAAAGTTTAGACAAGCATTGCTAGACAAGCGGTTCCTGGAGAAAAAGGAACAAGCCCTTCAAGAAGCACGTGAAGAAGAAGAAAAAGAGAAATGCCTTGAAGCACTCCGACAAAAGGTGTTTATGTTATATATAGTATTTTCATACACAGTAAATATACAAACACATACTGTCATATTGAAGATTTAAAAAAAATAGTCACAAGCAAATAAATGAAGTTAAAATGTACTTTAAGTTTGCCATTAGTTCTGTCATGTGTGCTTTGTAACTGACAACTGGAACATTAAGATGTTATATCAACAGCTTCTACAGTGTAATTTGTTGTAGATATGTCTTCTATCTTTTTTTTTTAAATCATAAGTCTGCCTTGAGTCTCAGGCAAGGTTTATGAGTAATTTAAATTAAAATTAAATGAAATTTAAATGAAAAGCTATGAAACTTTTACACCTTACCTTGAAAAGAAAAAAAGGACATCCCAGAAAATTCTTGCTAACGTTTGCTATAGTAAATGTACAAAGTTACTTTTTTTCTCATGCTGACTTTTGAAGAAGTAATGTTTCCTTCATATATATTTTTGTATCTTATCTCTTTGGTTTTTACTTCAAAAATTAAAAGGAAAAATCCAGAGTTCAAATTCTTTGCACTCCAGGATGTGCAGCCAAAGGAAAATAGGGGAAGGAGAGAAGCTGCTCTTTAAACCCTTCTGATTTTGGATAATTTAATCAGAATTAATACAGCAGTTCTCCACCCCGGACTACCTGTACTGAAAAATACAGTGGTGCAGCCATGACCTTCAGCATGTCCTTTGGCTTTAGGTTTAACCATCTCAGTGTGCCAGTGAAATTTTTCCTCGGTCCCTTGTGGGCTGTTTGTGGCCTTTTAAGTGCTTTCACTTCAGCGTTATGGAGTACAAATTCAAGAAGAAAGAAAAACATAATAGAGTTCAAATACTGCAAGCTATCTTCTGTGGGAGCATAACAGGAATAACAGGAAGCCAGAGGGACCATTAGTTCAGTCATTTTTTAAACTATTAAGTTCAAATTAATTTCCAGTCAGTAATACATTAAGAATCTGTCCAATTATATATTTTGTCATATTAACTATGATTTTAGTTTGTCAGTGCATTCTTTTAAAGAACTCTTTAATGTCTTTTCTAAGTTACTGGTTGAATTGCATCGCCTTTTACAACGTATTTTATCAGAGGCTGATTGAGAGTCATGATCTGAACTGACTGACCCAATTCTCTTACCAAATTAGAAAATGCTTCTAGAATTGCCTTTGACCAGGATGGAAGAGTTCCTGCTTCATTATTTTTCCAATCAATATTTATTCTTTGTGTTTCACACTGACGAAATACTTCTTCATAAAATATGCCCCTTTGTCATATGTGGAAAAAAATAATTAAGATCTCCAGTGAAATCATAAAGTTTGTATATTCACAGGGTAAATATGAAGATGACATTTTATTAAAAAGAGAGGTAGAAAAAATAATTATAGATTATTTTAAATATTTTTTTCTTGTTTTAGCCATTCATTTGCTGTCCTGACTGATTATTTTGCTCATGCATCTTTCTGTATTTTCCAAAGTAGTTTTAGCCTGTATCTGACTATATTAACGCGAAGCTGCCATTCAGCTTTCAAGGTTATTTTCAGTTTTTAAGGACTGACAATTGGCATTCATAAGTATGCAGGTTACTGCGTGCTCAGCCTGCCCACATAACAGGCAGTTCTCCACATTATAACATTTCTGTACTTGCCAGGCGTGCCCACTGCTATATTAAGTGCAGCCAATTAAATTGTCTCCACTGGGAAGCTGGAAAAAATCTCCCTGAGTATCAGTCTCTGTCAAAGTGGGCTTCCTACCATTTCCAGCGTGCAGTCTGAGACTTTTACTGTGTTCACGAGTTGGATCTTTCCCTCTTGTTCCATATTGTTACAGTACTTTCTTAGAGATCACTGACAGCACATGGCTTGGGGGGTGCTCTGCTGCTAGCAGGCGTCCAGAGAGCCCCTGAGCTGCTCTGGTGGACATTGGCCCTCAGCAGATGTTGAAGAAAAGCAGTGTGCGTATTCAGGGTTTGAGTGCTCTCTGAGCATATGCAGTATGATGCAGAATGCTATTTGCTGGTCTTGAGACCTAGCTCAGCATCCCTGGAGGGGATACTCATGCTCTGGACTCAAGTTGTCAGCTTTACAATATTTATAAATGGGGACAAGTTGGCTTAAGTCTACTTTTGGAATTCCTAAACCAGGTAAATGATCGCGTTCTGAAAGGCTGTGTGTTATTAATAAGACCTTTTCTCACTGTGTGTCTAAACAGATAAAGTAACTGTTATTTTCATATTGTTTCATACTTCAGGTTTCCGTTGTTGCAAAATTAGATCCAGCTAGAGTAGTGGCTGATACAGTGGCATCTAAAGCTCGGATGGGCATTGGAACCGAGGAAGAGTTTGTTCTTCAAAAGCCACTGTTCAAGTTGCATACGTTCAGTGAAGAGCAGGTAATTGTCTGTAATGGTACAGTATGGTTTATTGTACGCAAGAATGTCATGAGAGCAATATATGATAGCGATCTTGTAGCTGAAATAGTGATGTTAACAGTAGAACATAGAGTATAGTATGTGTAAAAGTAAAAACATGAGGAGTAATAGGTGGAGTAAGCTCTCTGACCAGATGTTTGTAGATGCTGGAGGAGCACAGCAGGAGTGTACACAATAGACATTTGTGTCCATTGAGGCTACCTGGGCTAGATGGATGGACTGAGCTGAGCCAACTGGGCACTTCCTGGGTGCGCTGGGTGTTTTGAGTGATCTGTTTGCTGTTCCTTCATTTCAAAACTCACCCGTTTTACACTTTTAGGAATTTACTTTAAAAAGTGCCTCCTTTTCACTTATTCCAGTTAGTGTTGTACTAAGAACTTGAAATTAAGTGCCTCAGCATGAAAGTCCTCCTGACTGTAGAAAGATATGTCATGGGTAACTTAATTGTGGGGTACGTTTTTCCTTGGAACCATATTATGTATCTCTTCATAAACTGAAAATCAGTATCTCGACTGTCTTCTCACTGTTGGTGAATGGAAAATCAGTTGGAATGTAATATACAGTGGCTCAAGGAGAAGAAACCAGCCAGGTGTAGATGTAGCAGGAAACTGAGGTAACTGCACTCCTGTTTTCAGGTCACTCAGACTGCTGAGAATAGTGCGAGCTCTATTTCAAATGTAATGAAGCAACACAGGGAAGGGTTTTTTGTTTCCGTTACTGTTCCCATCTGCTCAGTCTATGCATTTGAAACTGAGAAGCTTTAAAATGTCTTAAAAGGGGGAGTGCAGCTCAAATTTTTATTCCATAGAGCTACATCATAGCATTTCTCTTTCTGTCTGCATAATTTCCAAATTCCAGGGAATCATTTGAAATACAAGAGATGTAGGTTTTTGTTTGGCTATGAAAATTTACCCCAATCTGACTGATGTTGTGAGGGTTTGAAAAGCCTAGCTTGAAAATGCTATCCAAACGTACATGTATATTTGAGGTGGATACTTGAATCCTCAGAATATTCTGCCCGTTTCAACCTCAGCCAGTCTTACATACTGTCCAGACTGCAGTACCTGTTCCTGCTAAGCATGTTAGCTCGCTCCATCCCAGAGCAACAGTGGCTGCAAGTGACGTTCCCCAGCGTCGGTCCTCCCAGCAGCTCTGGGCACTGTTGCTGGTGGAGCTGGAACTGAAAGCAGCACGACTCTTGTACGTCCTGTGCTCCCTGCCGCAGCCCATGTAAGGAAGAATTGAAAGGGGCTTACAAATAATGTCAGCTAAACTTTTGACAGATTTTAGCATTAATTTCCCTAGGCTTTAGTTGTTGTTATGTAAATGAAAGTGGTACTGATGTGTAGTCACAAGGCAGTGCTGTGAAAAAATCATAAATGCATTTGAAGCACTCAGATCCCATAGAAGCAAACACTAAGGGATGAGAAGTTGTGTGCTGAAAGCAGGGGTGTGCTGATGGGGAACATCAGAAAAGTCAAAATCTATTCAGTGAGTAGGCTGAATTAAAAGTCACTCAGGTTTCTCATCTGCCCTTTGAGTTTTGCTGAGAAATAAAAACCAGGACTTTTTGTTAAAATAGGCTGTTGCCATTGATATTAAGAAGGATTATATCAAAATATGTGCAGTGAGATAATGCTTATTCCTTATAGAGTTTCTCTGCTTTTAAAAGCTTTATTTTGTGACCATAGTATTTGTAATTGCCTTTTAGAACTTTTTGAATATATACATTGATAGTTAATCTGTAAGATACACTGCGCATATGAGGAAAGTACCATTTTGTCTCTATTCATCATTGCTGTGGTTTGTTTTAACAGATCATTTCTGACCCTAGAATTCGAGTTGAGTTAGCTCTTCGAGAAGCTGGACTTCATAAAACACTTTACGCAAAAGAGATTTTACCTAAAATTCCTCCACTGAAACTTCCAAGAAGAGATATGGAATCTACGGCTTTTAAAAGGTAGAGCACATCACGTACGAAGAACAGAGAAGCTTCAGGGATGTAGTGTGGGCCATTATGCAAAAACTTTAAATAAATTTCCTATAGACCATGTAGTGGGACTACTTTGTTGTCTCTGTGTACAATCATTTAAAAAAAGTAATGTGCCTTTCCTATATGGTGCTCAGTACACCATTTTACACCTGCCTTGGTGAAGGTTTTATGGAAATCTGGTGGGTGTAGGCTGCTATAGAATAATGCTGAAGAATTTTCCATGTCCCCCTCTACCAGAAAATTGGTCACCTGTACATGAAAAACTCCCACAAACATTACTGGCCAATTTAATATATATCATCTTAGGTAGGAATTCTGTTTTGTAATTGACAGCATAAATCCAAAATAGCTTCACAGTCACTTTAGATTACACTGTGATACATAGTAATTATGATACATAATTCATTCCAGGTTGCTTGAGAACTTGATTCTTTTAATTATAAAATCTTCGTTATCATGAATGTTCCTATTATTCCTTGGTTACTAAAAGAAGAAACTTAACCTTTGTCTATATTTAGAAACCAATTTGCTGCATCATATTTACTGCAAACCAATCATGCAAACAATTTCATATTGACGATTACTCTTTCAGAATAAATTATAAATTAGAAATACCATTTCAGATCTGGGATCTTTATTTTGCAGCTGAAGCTATGGAACATAGTTCTACTAAATGAAAGGGAAATTGATGCCATTTCATTTTGTAAGTGATTACGTTTTCAAGCCTTACATAAGATGACTGTGAAATCTATTCTGTATGTAAACAAGTTACACTTAGCAGCTTTACCAAAAAGGACAATAAATATCAGAACATCCATATCTGTGTATCTAGATGTTAACAGGAACTTCGTTAGCATAATGTTGTGATGCCTTATAGACATTAATGGATCACATAACCTACCACCTGCCTTGCAAAGCGGACAGTAATTCCTCACTACCCAAATGAGAAACAGAGGATGAGGATCAAGAAGGGCCTATCAGCATTATCAGCAGAATCCATGCTGCAAATAAGGCAAACACCAAGAGAGAAATTTACTGCTGGCTATCACATACCTCCTTACCTGGCATGGAAATCAGATCGTCTTCCTTTGACACAGCAAGTAACTCTACACCAAGTGTAGAATTACTAAGTGCACCAAGGGGCGAGTAGGGCAGAACCGAGCTTTCGAAAGAATCTCCTGAACTGGAAGTTTTTCAATATGTAAAAAATTTATTTATCTGAACTCTTAAATCTCATAGTTCTAAAGCTGTCAAAATTAATTTGCAAGCGACCTTGTAAGTGAGCCTTCAAAACTGGAAGCAATTTCAGTAGGAAGTTGGCCAGGCTGTACACACACCCCTGTGAGAGCCCCTCCACCCACTGCCCAGGAGCAATTTGGCCTTTTACAGCTCATGGTGACACTTAGAGATCATTGCATCCTCGGTGTGTGGTGTGGAGGAGCAGTGGCTGCAGCTGGTGACACCAGCTTGGTGCAGATGTTGGTGTGTGCTCCCTGCCCTGCTGGGCTCTGGGGCCACACGAGGTTCAAGCACCATTCCATACTGCATGAATGTGAGTCTGAACGCCTGTTGTAACAGCAGTAACAGCACTGTTCTCAAGTGCAAATTAATTTTGCTATGCCGTTGCTTTTGGCAATGCACCTGAAGCAAAGTTATCCTCTGCCCAGGGGCAGGGTGAGCAGGAGCCAGCCCAACGGGACAGCCCTTCGTGTTCCTTGAGCAGGAGCCAGCCTGGTGACACACTCATTTCCTCAGCGAATTTCACTGCTGCTCTCCTTGGATGCTCGATGACATCGGTGCAATTCAAACCATTCGAGGCCCACAGCTCCGGCACCGGTGTTTGTGATACCCAGCCACATGGGCAGCAGCGCCTGCTCGGCCCTGGGGGAGCGCGTTGTGACCGAGTTCCTCCTTTTGGCTTCCTAGGAAGGGCCTGCTCGGTGCCAGGGCTTGGTCCCGTGTGCCCCCGGTGTGTGCATGGGCGCTGGCGGCACCGGGGCCCAGCTGCCGCTCACAGGCCGTGCCGGTCGGTGGTGCCCTCAGTCGCTGGCAGCGGGCGCAGCCCCAGGCGTCTCCGGATGAAGGCGGCGATCAGGCGCTGAGGCCGCTGCTGGTACTCCCGCAGCACCTCGCGGGGTGCCCGGATCTGGTCCCCCTCCAGGCGGTCCAGGAGCGCCACGCAGACAACAGCAGCTGCAAGGCGGCCCAGGCGCTGCTTTACCAGCACAGATCACAGGGAGCCCCTGCGCTGCGGTGGGCACCAGGCCCTGGGGAGAGCCCCTCGCGCCGCCCTCCCTGCAGTGCCTGCAGCAGGAGCCCTGGGACGCACGGGGGCCGTGGGCCAGCAAGATGGGGGCAGAGCCGCACCTCTGCTGCCAACAAGCATGTCCAGCAGGGAGGGGTGAGGGGAATCACATTTTTTTTTGTCCTGACACACGCTCAGACCTTTTAAAACAAACTTGTTTTTTTTTACTGAGCCATGGGACTTGCTTTAGAGTACTTTTTTTTTTCTAGTGGATAGTAGTTAGGAATGTGTTTTTGGCCTTCAGGTCAACTGGCTCTCATAACGAACCCAAGCCCCGTGTCGGGTGAAGGTACGGCCGAGGCAGCAGCCGGCAGCAGGGACTCACCTCTCAAACCGCACAGCCTGCACATGGCAGCGAATGCCGTGGACTCCATTTCGATGTTCCTCACGCCAGCCTTGTGAGCTCTTTTTAAGTATTCCAGCTTTTTTTCACTGGAGAACGAGCACAACGCGCCATCTAATCTCCCCTGACCTTGAAAGGAAATGAAGGGCTGTCATTGCTTGTCCTCGCAGGGCTGCTGCCACCGTGCCCTGGGGGGAGCTTCCTCTGGAAAGCCCTGCAGTGCCCACGTTTTGTATGAAGCCAACAAAGATTCCTTTGCATAGCTACTTAGTTCATGTTCCAGTTAACCTGAACTTTTAAAGCTAGCATGCTATGTCTGTATAGAGGAGAGAACTACACAGGTTTTAACACTTGTAAAAAGGAAGACTAACCACAGAGATTCAGTACAGGGGGTGTCTTGCACTCTGCTGGGGCAAATCCTCACAGCTCCTCTGAGCTCGGCAGTGCACGTCAGCTGCAGGTCTGCCAGCTTAGATCCTAGCAGTGCCAGATCTTTGTGGCAGCAGCATGGCAAGCTGTGAAGATGGGAAAATCAGGGAGAGGAAAGTTCCTTTAATTTTGTTTTGTTTTGTTTTGTTTTGTTTTTTTGTAGGGAGCGCTGTGGGTGCAGGCAGCCGGAGCTGTTTGTGAGCAGCATTCCCCCTTGGGCACCGGCCGGGGAGCCGGGCCCTGGGGCGCTGGCGCTCCCACCGTGGGCCTTGCCGTGCCGTGGGCCTGTGCAGCTGCGCCTCTTGCACAGCACACAACATCCCTTGCGCAAGCAAAACACACACCTGCGGCAGTGCCAACCTGGGCAGAGCGCTGCATTTTATTGCTCTTCCTACTGTTAACCCTCTTAATGGCTTTTTATTTAAATAAAACATGGCCTCGAGCAATACGCAGATGGTCGCATTTGCAAGCAGATCCAAAGGTTTATAAATAGTTCTCATATTATTAATTCTTCATTTATTACATTTCATCTACTCTGTAATCAGCATTTCATTTTGCAAAGGAAACAGTTCCAGAGTAACCAAAGTTTGTTTACATAAACATCGCACACTTCCTGACATTTTTCTCGTGTTTGGTGATTCTGAAGTTACAGTCTCATAGGAAACAGCTGAGCGCAACCCATCTGCTGGGATAAGGGGAGGGGTGCTGGCAAGGGGGTGTTTCTCTGCCAGGGCGAGGCTCTCGGCCTGCTTTTGGAGGGCCCCTGAGCACATGCAGAGGTCCCCAGCACCTGCACTGCCCCCGGGAGCCACCACTGCCCAGGTGGATCCTCGCGCCCCCGCTGACTGCAGCAGCACCGGCCGTGCAGCCGGCGCTACAAATTGAGCTGCCGAGTGCGGGGTGACTGGCTGACAGGGATGGCGGTGACCTGGCAAAGTGCTGGGGTGGGCACTGCAGGTTCTGGAGGTACAGCCCCCCGCGACCTCCGAAATCACGAACAAAGCAGCGGGTCAGCTCCTGCAGCCCGTAGGATCGTTAGCATGGGTGGTTCTGCCTGCCAAGCAGCACGAACACTCGGCACCGTGTCTGCAGGGGGGGGAACAGCCAGAGCACGCTTACCTTCGTAGAAATCGTAGGTGCACATGGTGTGCCCAATGAGTGTGGGGAAGTCGGGGACCTCCTTGCTGCAGGCGAGGAGCTCCTCCGCGAGCTCCCTGTCCAGGTCCGTGCTGCGCACCACCACGTCGCCCAGCACCACCTGCTCGAACCGCGGCTGGAAGGAGGCGTCTACGGCCGTGTCCGTGATCACAACGGAGCCGGCCTTGATCCCTGTGAAAAAAAGTGAGGCTAAGCCAGTGCTCGTGGCACTTGTGACCTGTTGGAAGACTTCAGCATGACAGAGAAGTATCACTAGCTGCCTATGTGAGTGTTGGGTTTTTTTGATTTTTTTTTATCAAAACAGATGTGAGAGAATAATTGAAATTTATGCAGTGGCACAGATGTGTAAGTAAAATGCAGAAAATCAGCACATGGGAAGTGACTGTGGGAATGTGCCGAGTGACGGCATTTTAATTGCTTCTGGCTTGCAGAGACCACACCCCAGCACCAGCTTGCGCAGGCACGAGCAGCACTGCTGCCCTGGCAGGCATAACGAAAACCTGCAATCTGCTAAACCAGTCACTGGAAGTGTCCTGGGTTTTAACCCAAAAATAAAATATCGTCTTGGTGTTTGATATCGCAGGACTTGGCAAAATGTGAAAGCTCGTAACTACATCACCTGCTGAGAATTATTTTCTATTAATAGTCTTTTGCTTGGAAAAAGGCCTTACTGAGACAGCTTACCTAAGCCTCCAGAAGTACCGATGCGTATAATAGTAACGTCTCGGCATTTTGCGTGGTGCAGCAGTTTGATCAGCTCATGAAGCATAATGGAAATGGAAGGGATGCCCATCCCGTGCTGTTGAGAGGAGAAAAAAGAAAAGGGTTGTTCTGTGTGACACCACAGCAGGTGGCAGGTACGTGACCACAGCGAGCTCAGGATTACACCGTGGCCTCTTCCTGATGGTGAGGCCAGCAGCAGGTGTCTTTTGGGGCAGGAGACCTCTCATGTCTTTGCAGCCTGCCCAGGCAAAGCATCTAGCCCTCTCCTCCCCTTGGTGGTTTTAAGGTTCTTGTCCGTAGTGCTGGTGTTTGTGCCCAGGGACCACTACATGGGGCACGGTGGTGTCTCTCCTTCAGGGAAGCGCTCTCACAAATGCACCCCAGCAGCTGAATGCTCCAAGCGCTTCCTCACACTGCTCATCCCTATGCCACCTGCTGACTTGTGTTGTTTGTCATGTCCTGATCGTACTCTTAGTGGTGAGATGTGGCAGAAGCAGAGCCCCCACTCCTCTGGGTGCCTCCCAGGCTGTCCTTGCCCACACCACAGCACCTCTCCCACATCGCTGGGCACAAGGCACAACGGGTGGGTTCGGATGGGTTCGGCCCCCTCGGCAGGGACTGGTGCCCCCCTCAGTCCTTGGCTGCTGGGGCTGCCCCTCCTCTGCTCCCTCGTGTCTCCTCTCAGGCCTCTGCTCTGCTGCTCGGTCACCGTCCTTTTCTCAGTTTCACCTTTAAAAATAAAAGGAGTTTGGGAGTACAGCCTTTTTTTTTCATGAGAAAGGCCTCTGTTTTTTCTTTTTGCCCTTTCCATCATGTTCAATAGCCTGAAGGAAATGTATTGGAAGAAGCACGTTGGCAGTCAGTCCTCATATTGCAACGTCTCTTTTTGGCTGTGAGGCTGATGGTCTACAGTCTTCTATCACGTTTTAAATATGAAAACATTTGCATGTTATTATTCTGGAACATCAGCCTGAGCTATTTGACAATGTCTAAAAAAAATTATTCTCCCTGTAAATATTCAAAGCAGGAAGCTGTCTTCCTGCCTCCGGTACGTTCGAGTTCATCTGTGTATCCAAGCAACTCGCAAACTGGCGGTGCTGGCAGCCGCTGGGTGCTGTGCTCGGGTGGCTCGTGCCCGACAGGGCGGTGGCGGCCGCGTGGCTGCTGCCCCGGCACAGCTGCTGCCAGGTGGGGCAGAGCAAAACCCGCAGGGCTTTCTCCCTGGGATCCTGCCAGATCGGCTCCCTCGAGCTTCTCTGTCAGTCAGGTTTGGTTCGGTTCTGTCAGAGGAACCAGACGCGATCCCTCCCAGCTGAGCAGTGCCACCTCCCGTGAACCAGGTGTGAGACCGAGCCCGTGCCTGAAAAAGCAGCGGCAGCAGCGGGCCCTGGGGCACCAGCACCCACCAGCGCAGCCTGTGCTTGCTCCTGCCCCTGTGCAGTGCCAGACACACCACTGTTCCCAGAGGAACCAATAATGGGGCAAGGTTTTCACTTGGGAACCCATGGCAGTGCAATGCTGTTGGCAATATTTCAGTTATTCGTGATGGGAACTGGTCTTTGCCTGGTGAACTGCCACACTGCTGAGATGAGCAAAATGCGTGCCTGCTCATTCTGAGCACTGTGCCCCCTAAAAGGGAGGTGTCGGGCACGCAGAGGACAACCGTGGCTGAGGGACTGTGGTGGTGCCAAAGGCTGAACACCAGGCAAGGGCAGAGGCTGGCGCCGGCTGGGCCAAGGCTGTGCCCGAGGCTGGGGCCATGGTGCCAGGGCGGGGAGGCGCGCAGAGCACGGCAGAGCCTCACGGAGCCTCGTGGAGCCTCACGGTACTTACGCTGATGGAGAGCACCGGCCCCGTGCGGTACATGGCGTAGCGGTCCGTCCCCGCGCAGATGTCAGCCACGTCCTCCCCACTGCCCTCGAGCCCCAGCTCCTTGTGCATGAACTGGGCAAACGCCTTCATCCTGTTCGGGCTGCCGCCAACGCAGACAAACTGGGTGTAAAATGTGAATTTGTGGGCATTTCTCACTAAAACGGGCATCGAGTCAGTGCTAACGCGGCAGTGTGCGGCTGCACCAGATGCGAGCAGCGAGCGCTGCCTCCTCACGGGCAGCCGGGGGGCATCGGAGCAGCGGGGTCTCAGCGCCAGGAGCTGCCCTGAAAGCCAGGCTGTGCTCCCCTGGGGCTGTGCCTGTGCTGGGTCGAGGCAGCTGCACAGCTGCACAGAGCTGGGTGGCAGCTCCAGGTCAAGAAAATCTAAAGCAATCTCAGTGTAATACATTTGGCCAATTTAAGCTGTTAGTATTCCTACTGCCAGCAAAGGAAAGCAAAGCCAGATGTTAGAGTGGCTTGTCATTTTATTTATTCTATCAGCAGATGTCTGCTGCAATTGGAGAGCACTGCTGATGACACGGAGGCCACAGAGTCAGGGAGGAAAGGGACAAACACTCTCAATTTCTATACTGAAACAAAAAATGCTCCCTAAACATAGGAGGGGGCTGGCGTGTGGCTGTGTGAGCAGCGCTGCCGACCCGCAGGGAAGGGGGAGCCCACGCGTGGTGATGGCTGCGCCAGGCTCCTTGAGCCCTGTGGCTCCACGACTCTTCCCCTGCTCTGATTTAATGTGGGATCGGAGCTCTGACAGCCTGTGCTTGACAGCTTTGTGCTTTGGCCTCAGCTAAAAATAGGACATCCTCTCTCCCATCTCCAGCACACGAAGCTCAGCTCAGATGCTTTGGACAAGTGCTCCCTGCCTGGCCTCTGACAGGGAGGCCAAAATAACCTCAGGTTTTACCGACCGGCAGGTATTTTAAAGGAGAGTTTTCTGTTGGGCCTTCTGTCCAGAACAAGCCACCGAGACCCTTTGCAGGAGGCCAGGTCCTGCTCCAGCTGGAGCGCCCACAGCAGCGGGGCCCCGGCACGGGATAGCAGCGCCACGGGACAAGGGGCAGAGAGCCGGCGGGCCTGGGAGCTGCTGCCTCGCTTCTGCCCCTGCCACTTACCTTTATGTCCCCAAACATAGCGGGCAGGTTGTGCGTCCTTGTTCCCAAGTCCAGGTGATACAGAATGTCCTCCTCCATCGAGTCCAGGTGCGGGTTTTTGATGAGGACGGGCCCCCCGCTGCGGGGAGAGGGGCAGAGCCGGGTGAGCGGGCGGCTGCCTCCTGACAGAGCCTCGCGAGCGCTCGTCCTGCTCACACTGCTTCTGGGAGCCCCTTCAGCAGCGTCTTACTGTCCCTACGTACTTGGCAGAAAGGGGTTCTCGATATTTATCATCAGTTTTGTCAGACTTAGCTCTTTCTTTGATACAACATTGCTGGAAGTACCTAGCAGGTAATGTACTGTGATGCCTCATACGTGACAGCTTATTAAGCTCGTAGCAAATCAGGATTTTATATTTGTACTGTCCCAAATAATTGCCTAGCAGTACAAGTGCAAATTAAATTCAGCTTCTGCAGGACGGCAGGAGGTCAGTTTACCTTGCCTTTCCAAGTGCTTTAATAGATGTAAAGCAACTAAACAACGATACAGGCCAATTTTATAAATAAGGCTTAAAGAAAACCCAGAGAACATTTTTCTTGTCTTATTAAAACAAATTCAAAGCCTCTCCCATGACTCACCCAGAGTAACCTGTTGTTTCAGTCATGACGGCTCTGCCAGAGTCAGCTGAAAGCGATACCCTGCGGAAAGGTGAGGCAAACACCCTGCTATTTCTTCAGCTGTTAGCGTTCGGAGCTCGGAAGGGATCTGAGGCGGCTCTGCAGGGGGTTAAATACCCTCCCCGCTTTGTGCAACACCCCAGGCAGCAGCAGGACCACCTCCCTCCTCCCGCTCCCATTTGTCCGGTAGGTGCCAGATGTTCCTGCTCTGGGCCAGCGCTCTGCTTGTCCCGGGACGTGGTCCCAGAGCCCCGCATTGGCTGGCCCTGCAGGTGTGTCGCTGCTGGCACGCCTCCGGCCGCACGCACGCTTGCCCTTTGGCCAGCACAGGGCTGCAGGGCTGGCACACGTGTGTGATGGCTTTGTGTGACCGGTGTGTTGGCCCCAGGAGTGTGGCATGGCATGGTGTGTTACGGCATGGTGTGTTATGGCATGGCATGGTGTGTTCCCATGCCAGGGCATGAGGTGCCATGGTACAGACCCCGGGCCGGAGCGTGGTGCGCTTGGCTCCCCAGAGCAGCCCAGCGTATCTGCAGGTGGGGCTTCTGGCAGCGGGGATGCCTCTGACATTTCAAAGCATGTACGTGTCCAAGCCCTTAACATTGCAAAACACCAGGAAAAGTCAAATAAGCATTACGAACCAGTTGTACAGTGAAGTGTAACTTGGACGTCTTGCCCAAGACGGGATCAGGAAGGATCTGAGGAGGGCTGGAGCAGAGCCCGTATGAACATTTCAGACTTGCTGGAGTTGTACCAAAGTCAGGCTGCAATGGTTTCTCTGCTCAGATGAAGTTCTCTCCTCTCTGGATGCTGTTAACATATTCCTGCCAAAGATGACTTATTGCTGACACTCCACAGCACTCCTGAAGGATATGGATTTGGTTTTTCCTTTTCCTTTCAGCGTGCACCAGATTGCAATGAGAGGTACGCAGAACAAGTGTCCTTGGGGACACACATGCAGCGCTTCCTGCAGTCTTGGACTGTGTCAGTCACACAGACACTCGTCTCTCTCAGCATAGCATTAAATGTTTCGGGCACCTTGCAGTTCATATAGGGACTGTCATGCGCCTCTTTGCAGTGTTGTCCACTTGGCATGACTTCATTTGGAGACTACACCAGGAAGGTTTGCTACTTGCAATTGCTGGCTGCAAGCACCGTGGTGGAGCTGAGGTCCGTGTTGGCTTGCCGTGGGTCTGCCAGCTTCCTTTGGCACCTGCTTGTTTGGCAAAGGGGCGCGAGGTCGCCCCACTCGGGCTCTGTGCCCCACATGCAGTCAGCATCCCGCTGCCAGTGGTCCCACGCCGCTGGAGGAGCGGGGCTGAGGGGGACCCGCAGCCTGCACAGATGTGCTGCAGTCGGTGCCGGCACCCAGCCGCCGCTGAGGCTAATTTGGCTTGCAGAGCACCTATTGCTGTTGGCGATGCACAAAGCAGAAAGAACAGCTTGCGCCTCAGAGCCCAGATGAGTCTGTGGATGAGTGGGCACAGAAATCATCTACTTGTGTCGGGAGCCTAGCTGATGCAGAAGGAATTGCACAAGTCTCTCACCCTGCTCCACCACTTCCCAGCCGCTCGAGCACTGCCTTGCAGCCTGCAGAGGTTCGGAGGAGGAGGTGCTGGTCGTGCCGTGGCACAGCAGTGTCGGTGCAGTGCAACACCAGCTCTGCAGTGAGCTGAGCCCAGCCGCTGGCACTCTGCGACCGACAGAGCCTGCGCTGGGAGCAAGTTCAGCGGGGCTGGAGGGAACGGCAGGATCTGGCAGAGTGGTGGGTGGACAGACAGCTCTCATCATGCCAGCGACCCTGCGGTGAAGCAGGGTGGGTATTGCCCCGAGCCAGCGAGATCCTGTGGGCAGGGGTTGCTGGCTTGGTCTATTTAGTGCAGGATTTCCTTGCCTCCCCTTCTTCACACTTGCAGCCAAGTATTTTTGCACGTCTGGCAAGATCTGCACTTGTGCTATTGTAAACTGTCTCATGACAAAATAATTTTCCTGAGTGCACAGGTGAATTTTTAGCTAAATATTTACTTAAGAACTAAAAATAATATTCCAGTGGACCCAACTGCAATGTGTGATATCCTTGCCTGCTGCCAGTGGAGTGCGCAGGGCGGGTGGCCAGTGTGGACTCAGCTGCAGCCACACCTGGTTGCAAAGCCACAGCACATCTCTCCTTTGCCAAAAATGTAAGACCTCTCTCAGAGGGTTTTGACTGGTTCTGCACTTGCCCAGGAAGAAATTGCCCTGGATTTGCTATCCAAAGGGCACTTTGTGTTCAGCCTGCAGAGATGCTGGTCTGCTCCTGGTACCACCTCCTGCAGCAGGCGAGGTGGATGGGGCTGTGTATGGCGTGGTGTGATGGGCACATTGTGGTGTGACGGGTACGTTGTGGTGTGACGGGCACGTTGTGGTGTGACGGGCACATTGTGGTGTGATGGGCTCAGTGTGGTGTGACCACCAGCCCTTGGCTTCCTGGGCACCAGGCTGGGTGCTGCCGTGGGGCAGGAGCAGCCCCATGCCGCAGGCTGGGCTGGGGACCGAGGCCACCAGCACACCTCAGCATCGCATATTCCCTGCCAGCAGCCCTGTGCCGCTGGGCTGAGCACTGCCCCGCTGGGTCTGGGCAGGGTCACCCAGCACCCTCACAGGACTACACGTGTCCAAGAGGCAAAAGGCAAGGCTTTGGAGAGCAGCCCTGTGGAGTGCTGCAGAGGCAGAAATCCCCGTGGGACAAAGCTCTGCCTGGGAAGGCAGGCTGAGAAGCTGTGAGTAAGCAATGTTCCCGGTGGTGTTTGTCCCTGACGTGTTCAAGGTAAAAGGAATGAGCGTGTTCTTTGTAAGTAAACAAGCCCGAGGGAAACGTCTGCCTTGTGCTTTTGGATTCCCAGAACTGATCCCGAAGTGAAGGGACAGCAGTTGCCGCTGCCATGCACATTTTGGGGCAGTTTCAGAGCTTGTCTTTGTGCGGGTTGGCTCGCTGCCCAGTCAGGTTCTGGTCAGTACTTGAAGAGCTCTCGCTCTGGGGTTCCTCCTTTGTGTTGTTTTTCCTGTGCTGTTGTCCCCCTCCAGATGCCTCAGGTGTGCCCTCGGTTGTTCACTGGGGCCGTTCTCCCCGCTGCCTGTGCCCCCGCTGTGGTTCGCGGTCCTGCCCGTGGTGGCAGACGCTGCGGGGCCGTGTTCTCTTTGCAAGGCAGGTGGGGAAGTGATGAAGGTGAGAAACAGAGCCCGGAGCCCTGAGTGTGTGTTTGTGGCTGGTTTAGAGCGAAATTCAGACTCACCGAGTGCCAGGCAGCAGAGCTGCGAGCATATGTGTTAGGGGATGACAAATAAAGCGGGCTGAGGCGCACGGCAGGGTAGCATATGGTAATGCAGACAGCCTCTGAGCGAGTGAAGAGCTCGGGAGAGCCAGCGCTCCTGCACACGTCCAACACCTCTAGTCTGCTAAGTGCTGGTTTAAAATAGACGCTGCACGTCATTCCTTGCACATCAGAGACGCTCTGCCTGCCGTGTCCTGCCCGGGCTGCTGCCATGTCTGCTCCAAGCAAGCCCGAGCAGTGCCTCTTCAGGTCGGCTCCTTTCTGATTTCTCTCCCGTGATACCTCCGCCGCGACGTGGTGCCCAGGCTCTGCCGACACGCACGATGCTGCAGCCCGGGCCGCTGAGCACGATGCGTGTCCGTGTCAGCTTTTAGGTCATCAGTCGCAGCTCGTTAGCAGAAAGCTGATGAAAATGCCCAGTCTGGGAGGTGTCTGGTGCATTCCTCCAGAGCCGATTTCTAGCGATCATCACGGAAGAGCAGGAAAAGCACTTGGGATCATTTTTACCTGATAAAACAAGGCAATGTGCCACCAGCACGCAGCTTTCCCTGCCCTTGCCCCTTCCCTTCCCTGTGTTGAAAGTCCAGGTCCAGAATAGCGATCAAGGCAGGCAAAATGTGGAATTGATCAACAGCTTGCCTGGTTCTTCTCTCTGCCTGGCTTAGTATTGCTGTAAATCTGTTCGTGGCTTTGGGAGAAGTCAGTGAGACACCCTGAGAAGAAACGAGACACCACAAACCCTGGGGACATGCCAGGGACTAGAGTCAGGGCCCACTCAGGACCGGCTGCGGCACCCGGTGCTGGTCCATGCGCTCCCCCGAGCGCTGCGCTTGCTCCCTTCCTGCCTGGTATTTTCCTGCTCTCCAGGCTTTGGAATCCAGATGGTGCCTAGGGTTTTTATTTTTTTTTCAGGGATATTTTTATCCCTTCAGTCCTTCCCTCGCTGGGCCTGCGGGTGCGTGTGACAGGCACTGTGTGCCTGTGGGTGCAGGCAGAGGCAGGAGGGCTGGGAGGAGATTTTGACAGCAACAAGGCACAGGGCACAGGGCCTCTGTGGAGCTCACCAAGCCACTGTGCCTGTCGAGGCCAATCACAGCTCAAAAACAGGATGAGAAATATTTTTTCTTCAGGCAGCAGACGGGGGCTTGGCCTAGCACGTCCCAGCCCTGTCCTCTCCAGTGCCACCGGCTCCTGCCCACGTGCGCCGTGCAGGCGGGGTGCCTGCAGGGGACAGGGGACGAGCAGGTCCCCAGGCAGGGTGGCTGATGCTTGGCTGTCCTTGCTGCACTGCTCCAGCGTGCCGGCCTTGTTAGGATTTGAGCTTTCTCTGCACGGGGCTGCTCGAGCAGCTTCCTGCACCCTGCCGAGGATTGGGGGCTTCCAGGCAGCGATGAGCTTACACTGGTTCCATTTTAAAAAATGAGCTGTCCAGACCTCACATTATCCAAATATTTTGAGATGAAACACATGAAGAGACTAAATGCTGCCTACAGAGGAGGTGTCCTGGCCTGGTATCTCCTGCAGCTGCTGATGTCAGACCCAGTTCTTGCCTCATTTGCAGGCCGAGGTGAGGGATTTCTGGGCATACGGCACCTCCGGTGCTGTGCCAGATGTGGGGCACGGGGCTTTTGCCATTCAGGAAGTGCAGGAGCCTCCTGAAAGTACCCTTCTGGCATGTCCCTTGTCATTTTTAAGTGTTACTGCCAGCCACTTACTGGAAGCAGATGAGGCATGTACAATAAAGGATGAAACTATCCCAGAAAATCCCATTTTGCCTTAAACCTGTTTCAGACTGGCTAAGCCTGATTCCATGACTGCGGTCCCTGCGCTGTGATGTTCAGCCGATGTTCAGTTCAGGTAGGCATAAGCCGATCAGTTCATCCCCCTGAAAGCCATCCACAACATTGACCTTCCAATTCTTGTCTTTTTCTAGCTTGAGACACAAAAAACTCTGTTTTCCTCTGTTCCTGTACCAAACAGAGTGGAATAGAAGTGCTCTAAATAGCCTATTTTTAGAAAATTGAGCATTTTAAACAGATGAGGTTCTTAGCCATTCAAAACTATAAATTCATCAGAAAACTGAATGAACTGCATGTGAAGTTAGCACAGAGAGAGCTGGGTTAATGATTTGCCCCGTACAAGTCAGGAAAAGAGAAGGTCACATATTTTGCATAATGACAGAGCTGAGCTGTGTGACTTTGACTCTTCCTCAGCCTGTATGTGATGTGCCAGGATGGGTGACACAGAGGTTTTACAAGAAAAAAAAAAAAAAAAAGGCAGAAAAATAGAAGCTTGGGAATGAATCAATGTGACTGTTTTTTTTGTGTGTGTGTGTGTGTTTTTGTTTTTTTTTTTTCCCTTTTCTTTTCTTTTCTGAACCCATGGAGGTGCCAGTGCTTGGCAGTGCAGCCAGCAGCCCGGGACTGCGGTGGTGGTGCCCATCCAGCGGCTGCTTGTGGGGCCAGGCGGCACTGGGCCACGGCATGGCCAGACTGGTGGGGCCCCCGCAGGGCACTGGGGACAGCCCCCAGCACGCAGGGCCAACGCGAGGCCTCGCACCAGCCCACCCCTGTCTGCGTGTCTGTGTATTCAAACCCTTCAGCCATTCAATTCAATGCCATCATTCCAGCTGTTCGGAAAAGAAGGCGTGTAGGTTAAACACGTGTGAGCCAGCACAGGAACCCAGTGCCCCTGTAAGCTGTAATGTGCTGGGGAGAAAAGAAAAAAACTCAGAAAACCCAAACTGTTTTAGCAGCTGCAGGAGCAGTGTGACTGTGTTTCTTCATTCGGTATTCTCATCCATTTGCAGCACAATTCTGTTTCCTGCAACTCGAACATGAAAGTTCCCATTATGGCAGCAGTGGCAGAACTGCACTTGGTAAGCGCCGGTGTGATTGTTCTGATGATTTAGAAATGGGACTTTTAATGGCTGCTACATTTCATGGGGCAGAAATTCAGATAAATTACTCCTCAGATGCAGAGCCAGCCCTCACTTACATGGGTTGAGACCCGAGCTGATTCAACCGAGGCAAGCACAGTCCCCCTGCAGCAGCACCCGGCAGCGGGCGAGGGTGGAAGCGAGCCCCTTTTTGGGACTGCTGCCAGCCCCAGCCCTCGGGGTGCTGGGCGAGGGGAGCCAAGGAGCTGGCCTTGGGGCTGTGGGCAGGTTGTGAAAGCAGCACGAAGCACGTCAGCACGAAGCACGCCCCGCGAGCGGTGCGACACGGCCTGGGCTGCTGGCAGTGCACACTGGTGCCACGAAGCAGGCGTCGCTGTGAGAGTTAATGGCTAACCCCTGGAACAACTGGCACCCGAGCCTCTCAGACCCAGGTCTCTGGGGCTGACCCATGGGAACCAGAGGCCCTGCAGTCGCACAGGCGAGGCCGAGTGCCGGACCGCAGCCAGCAGCGTTTGCATTTCAAAGGGGAAAGCGCCTGGACAGGGCCCTGCTGGCTGGGCTGGCTGGTGGCTTTCGCACAGACCATGCTCCCGCTGTCAAAGACCAATTCATGGACAGCAAATACATTTCTTCATCCACTGTGACGAGCTGCCATGTCAGCAGGACAGCCGGACGCCGGCTGGTTCCTCGGTGCCATCCCCAGCAGACACTTCCAGAGCGTGGCGTCTGCCGTTCTGTGCAGGAACTGCATTAATTTGAAAAATATTTTCCTTATTAGAGAAGGGCGTTTGAAAAGAGCTGGCCTCGGAGCACCGTGCTGCCCTCCTGCCCGCTGAGCTCTGGCTGTAGGAGCTCGTTTTGTCTCACTTTGTCTCACTTTGTCTCACTTTGTCTCATTTTGTCTCACTTTGTCTCATTTTGTCTCACTTTGTCTCATTTTGTCTCACTTTGCCTCATTTTGCCTCATTTTGTCTCATTTTTTGCACCTCCCCTCTCTGGCCCCGTAAAGCTGCCGCCCGGCGGCTGCCGGCTGCGGGCCCTGCGCGGCGTCAGGGGGACCCCCAGAGGGCCGGGGGCGCACTGCGGGGCGCTGGGCACGGCCCGGGCCGAGCTGCACGGAGCCGTGTAACGGCGTGTGACTCGTGCAGCGCTGGGCTGGCAGCAATTACCCGTTGTTGTTAATTACCCGGGGGCGGGCTGCCCGCTCCGCGCTCACACCGGAGCCCACCCGGCACCGCCCGGCGGGGGGCACCACCCGGCAGCACAGGCCCCGCCCCCAGAGGCCCCGCCCGCCTCAGGCCCCGCCCACCGCAGGCCACACCCACCCAGGCCCCGCCCACCCAGGCCCCGCCCCCGCTCCCCGCGCTGCCGGCAGGGGGCGTGGTCGCGGCGCGGCGGCCGGGCGGAAGTGACGCGGGGCCGCCCGCCGTGCCCCGGAGGGGCGGGGCCGTGCCGCCCGCCGCCGCCCCGCCCCGCGCCATTGTCAGCGCCGCGCCGCGGGGCACGCGGGGCCGGGCCGGGCCGGGCCGGGAGGGGCAGGGCCGGGACGGGACGGGGCCGCGCGGGGCCGCCCGCCGCCCATGGCCAGCCCGCCGCCGCCATAACGCCGCCATGGGGAGGTGAGCGCGGGGGGAGCGGCCGGGGGGGGCCGGGGCGGGAGCGCCGCTGAGGTGAGGGGGGGGGGGAGGCGGCTCCCGGCGGGCACCGGGGGGGGGGTGGCGGGGCCGGGCCCGGCGCTGTCAGCAGGGAGCGGCCGCCCCGCAGGAGCCCGGCCCTGCCCGTTCCCTGCCGCTCGGGGCTCGGTGCCGGGGCAGCCCGGGGGGCGCCGCTCGCTGCTCGCAGCCCGCGGGACCCGGAGCAGCGCGGTGCGGCCTCACCGGGCCTGCGGGGAGCGGGCCTCGCCCTGCACGCACCGGGCACGGGGCGGCTCTGGCAGCGTTGGCTGGGCGTGGGGCCGCCCGTCTGACGCGCCGGGAGGCACCGGGCTGCCCTCAGGGCCGCGGTGGCCGGTGCCTGGCACCCGGTACCCCAGTGCCTGCTCCGTTACCGTGTGGAGGTGGCTGCGTGTATCCTGCTGGGCGATCTGTCAGAGCTGCCCCCACCCCGTTCAGAAAGATCAGGAGGGCACGGATGTGTCGGGAGCCGAGGTGAAAGGGCAGGGCTGCACGTAACCCGTCCCTCCGAAACCTGTTTGCTAGGCCAGCCTTCCCATCCAGGTGTGTGCCCCCAGCTCACAGCCGGCTCCTTCCCCATTGCACTCCGGCTGTGCTGGGGATCGCAGGTGGGAGGGGTGCGAGGGAACCCGCAGGGAGCCCCGGGGCTGGCGAGGGGCAGGCTGGCACGGGGCTGGCTGCCCGCCAGTGTCCGTGTCCGGAGAGGGGAGCGCGGAGCCTTGCGTCACCTCGCCAGGGCTGCCAGACGCAGCATCAGCAGACACATCAAACAGCTCGTTTGGGAGGGATGCAAATGAGCCTGGGAGAGGGATAAAAACGGCTGAGCCGCCCCGCTCAGCCTCTGCTCTGCCCTCGCCTCGCTCTGCCACGTGCCATGAGCTTCTGGGGGGACAGAAGGCAGCTCCAGCTCCTCAGGGCAGCGGGGCAGCTCCCGGGGCAGGAGGAGAACAGAGGCAGGGGCACGATGCCAGCGCGGCCGTGTGTATTTTCTGTTTGCCAGCTGGGACTCTGAAGCAATGCTTAAATATATAGCGAAAGTCTGATGCTAAAATAGGATCTAGGGACAGCCGGCCTAAAATAGCTAGGCCCCCTTTTAACCGCCTCACCCCTGCCAACGGGGGGAAAAGGTATTTCATTTGCTCCCATTCCTCTCAAAAGAGGATCCCAGCATCTGCTCTTGTATCTTTTATCTCTTCTGTGCGTAAATGGGTAAAAGCTTAGCCCACTGGTCTGTGTGTGTACACAGCTACGGAAGGAGCCAGCGGTGGTGTTGAATGTGGTGTCTCGGAGCGATAATTGCTCTTGTCCAGCCTCTGTGTGAGAACTCAGAGATCCACTGGGATCTGTTGTAGCTTGGTGTGACGAGGGTGTGCGAGTGCGTCCAGGGATGGCTTACTTGCCTTGAGACCTGGGGGTAGGTGAGACTGAGATAGTGTAAGAGCATGTTAGTGACAGCAGCTGACACTGTCTAAACACACAGCTTTTAAATCCTGCTCTGAACAGGTCCTTAATGTGTCTGAACTGAAAAGTCATTTAGGTTTTTTACATAACTGTATGCATCTGTAAGGTAAGGAACATCAGTATTTCCTGGCGGTGCTGGAAACCTGAATTCAGAAAAGTTCAAGGTGTGTTCTGTTTTTTTTGAGCTCATCAATTTAGAAAGTGCCACTGACTACAAAATGTGAGGAATTTAATGGAGATGCTTTCGAGAAACAACTTTTTTCTTTTCTTCTTTAGCTGTTTGCAGCCAAAGCACAGTTTGAGTAGTGCTTTCAGAAGCAGGTAAGGACTGTGGGTGAGTGGCAGAGCAGCTACAGTGCAAGTTTTCTCTGCCAGGCTGGGGTACGAGTGCGCTGTGTCCCAGCTGGAGCTGCTGGCACACCCCTGAGGATGTGGTCCCATCACCTGGGGGCACGCAGTTGGTGTCCGCAGGTCTCTGTCTCACAGTGGGTTGCATTTGTACGTCCTGCTGGCGTTCAGGAGGTGCTCTCCAAGCTGTTCTTGAATAACGAGATCCACAGCGAGCCGTGATTACAGAGGCCAGGCTCCTCAGTGCTGCTTTCATGCTGGTTCGTGGGATGCTCCTGTTCTCTGGCAGGAGCGCTGGCGGTGCGGCGACGTTCCCAGTAACGTGGGAGAAGGAGCGGCGTGCTGCAGAAGCCCGGTGGTGTTCTCATTAGCAGCTCAGAGGCCAGCTTTCCCCTGGAAGGCCAGAACTGACCTGATGATTCATCTGCTGGTGAATAGTCAACATCAGGTGCTGCATCACCGCCTCAGCCGGTTATTATGCGATCCCTCCTCTAGCAGGGCTCCTTTGATCTGTTCTTTTCATTTCGTGCTGAATTCCTCCTGCTCCTCGGAGCTCCACCTCGCCTGCCGAGCCTGCTGCTGGCCGTGAGGGCTGCTCCGCGGGCTGCTGGCTGTGCTGGCAGCCGGGCAGTGGGCTAAGGGCCTGTGGGGCTGAGAGCTGCCTGCTTGCGATGGGAACACCTCCTGCATTCCTCGGGCCTGCACGTTAGCATAACGCCCCTAAAGCCCCAGGAGCAAGTCCCTGATGGAGCGATTGTGCTCCCTTCTTTTCAAGTGCAAAGGCGGCGCAGCTCCCTAAGCTCTTGGGGTAACAGTGAGCTCTGCGCGGGGCTGCTCGCTGTGGCTGCGGCGTGTCCAGGGAACCGACTCCTGCTGAGGAGGGAAGTGTCGGGAAGGAAACACTGCAGAGGTCTTTCGTGACTGAAATGTGAGCAAACGGAGGGATGATTGTACATTATCCCTCTTGATGCAGGAGCTGGGGAATATCGTGTGTAGGCAAGGGGCAGCGGCTCTAAAAGGCAGCGTTTGTGTGGTGCCTGTGGGGCACTGGAGGGGGATTCTCCTTTCAAGAAAGGAATTGGATATCTCTGGGTCTGTGAGCAGAGCGCTAAGTGCGGGGGTCTGGGTGCAGTGTCAGGCTTGGGAGTGCATCTCTGAGGCGTGGGGGCAGAGGGGAGGACAGGTGACCTCTGTGTGTGTGTCCCCACGCTGCTTCCAAGGCATCAGCCACCAGCCTCTGCAGCCGGCAGGTGGTTGGGCCGGGCACACAGTTTGTTGCTGACCTGAAAGGGGGCTGAACGGCTGCACTGCTAGAAGTGACTGCTGCGGGTGAGCACTGCCCCTTCCTCTGAGTGGCAGGCCACGGTTCTGCGCTGTTACCTCTGGTGCTGCTGAGCAGATGCGCGTGGCTGTGTGTTGTTCCTTGTAACTTGGCTCCCGTCTGTCCTGGAGAAAGCAGCCAGCAGCCGGTCGGGGAGGTCAGTGAGCACAAACAGCTCGGCTGGTGGCAGCTCCCTGGGGCACGAGGCAAGGGGAGGATCTGAGGGCTGCCCTGAGCAGAGCTGGAGGTAGGGAGAGGGGAGAGCACCGACGCTGTTCCCCAGGCTCCTCTGCAGAAGCAGAGCTGGTGCTGCAGCTCTGAACCTCACACCCTGTGTACCCGGGGTGCTCCTTGTCAGGGTGCTGAGGCCAGGGCTCCTCAGCGGGACGGCAGCGGGCAGGAGGGCTGGTGCAGCGCGGCTGTAGGTAGCTGTGCTCAGTGGGGTCAGGCAGTTCTGAGAAAAGCAGCTCCAAACCTCGCCTCTCTGCTAATAAGCTGCGGCAGAGAGTCCAACAAACACCTCTTCTAATTGCAGGTCTGCTGTGTGTCTGGCGCGTATCCTGTAACAGTAGGAGCAGGTTGGCAGCCTTTCGACAGCAGCCTTTGGCTGGGCGGATAGCTGGGAGGCTCGAGGTGGCTTCCTTTTGAAGTCCTGCAAGCTGCTGATGGCTGCTTTCGTGCATGTGTGTGCCTCAGCAGGCCCCTCCAACCTCGCTGCGAATGGCCCGGGGTTCCTGGCCGCGCAGCCGGCGCTGTGGTTGCCCCAGCCCTTTTGCTGGGCGAGCAGGCTGCCTCCCCGCCTGCTGTGCCTGCTGCTCTCCTGGCACTTCTGCGCCACGTGGTGAGCTGCACGAGGGCATTAATTTTGGTGAAACTCCATCTCTCTGCCTGGAGTGCTTCCAGCTGGGGTCAGTTCGTGGTTCGTGCCGGTGCTGAGGAGGGGTCACTGGAGGTGTGAGTGGTCGGGGCGATGGGGGGCACCGTCTGCCACCTCCGTGTGCAGCCTTGCTGGTCGTCACCAGAGCTGTAGGGCTGCCTTCGGCTGGGCTCTGCTCACTGCCACAGGTCCCTCCACCGAGCTCAGCGACCTGCGCTGGCAGTCGGAGGGAGCAGGGGGGAGCAGGCAGCCTCCCGAGGAGCAAATGCAGAGTTAAACAAAATACGTGTTTGTATCAGCCTAAAACAGGCCGTGCTATTTAGGGCTGCCCGCTGCAATGAAGCTGCCTCTTGTGTTTGTGTGGGTGGGCTGGAACAATTAAGTCATTTTAAGGCGGAATCTTAAAAGAGAAATAAAATGAAAAGATGAGGGTTTGGTTTAAGAGAGAGTGAATTAATTGCATCGTGTTAGGTTGGAGGAAGATAGTTGGCATGTGCAGGCTGTTGATTATCGGTAAGAGTCGTGTCCGAGTTGCATGTTGAGCCTCTCGCCTTCGCTAGGTGTGATGTGCTCCTTGCTGCTCACCTGTTAGCAAGCGGCTCCTTTCTGATGCTCAGGGTGAAGCTGGAGCTCAGTGCAGCAGCCTGCTGAGACGCCGGCCTCTGATGGCAAGGACTGGACAAACCCTGGGCCGTGGGGTGACCTGGCGGGGTATTTATGTGGCTGTCCGTCCCGGGGCGTTGTAACGCCTGGCTCCCTGTCCTCTGCTGTCAGAGTGGAAAGATTTACCCAGAGTAGTGCACTGCAATTTGTATTAAATCAGCTAAATCATAGCCACTTAAAAAGAACTGAGATTACATTTAAAAAAGCTATCTTGAGTTTTTTAACCTGGCTCAAGTGAAATGATGAAAAGAATGTAGATGTACTGGTAGCTCATGA